ACAGTAAGATATTTTCTCAATCCAAACATAAAGAACCATCTAATGGCACTAAGTGCTTTCATTGTGGAGGTAACAAACATACTAGTGAGACATGTTTTAAGCTCTATGGCTATCCAGACTGGTGGACAGAATTTCAGGCTCAAAAGCGTCGCGAAACAACTGAGAGCAACCCGGGCAAAGCTGCAGTAGCTACTGCTGAACCACATCTTTCCCTCGTTCTGAAATCAAGTTCCCACACCACTGAAGGTAATGTTCTAATTTTCTCTAATCATGATGATGACTCTAATGCATGGATACTTGATTCTGGAGCTACCGATCATATGATGTTTGATGCTGCTGATTTTTCTGAATGTTCAACCCCTCGGTGCTCAAGTATTGCCAACACAAATGGTGGTTTATCAGCGGTATCAGGGGGATGGAACTGTGATGTTATCACCAACCATTTTGCTTTCAAATACACTACTTGTTCCCTCTCTATCTCATAAGTTGTTGTCTGTGAGTCAAGTTACAAAAGACTTGAAATGTGTTGTGCTAATTTATCCATCTTTCTGTCTTCTTTAGGATATTATCACGAAGGAGATCATTGGGCGTGGTACTAAAAGAGGGGGACTTTACTATATGGAGGATTTTAGTATAGGCCGAGCACATCACATGCATTATCCAAGAAACAACAAAATGGAGCAAGTCTTACTTTGGCATCATCGATTAGGCCATCCTCCGTTTGACTACTTGAAGCATGTGTTCCCAAACTTATTTTCAGATACATCTTTGTTGAACTTCAAATGTGAAACTTGTATTTTAGACAAGAGTCATTGAGTCACTTTTCCATCAAGTATGAATAAAAGTAATGTTCCTTTTGCTTTAATCCATTCTGATGTATGTGGTCCATCCCCAAAATCGTCTCTCTGGTTATCGGTGGTTTGTTATATTTGTTGATGATTGTACTCGAATGACTTGAATTTATTTGTTGAAACAAAAAAATGAAGTGGTACACATATTTCAACAATTTCATAAAATGATTCAGACTCAATATTCAAAGAAGATTAGGATCCTTTGCTTTGATAATGGTGGGGAGTTTGTAAATCACCAATTCCATGAGTATTTCAAAAAACACAGACTTATTCACGAAACCACGTCTCCACAAACTCCACAACAAAATGGTATTGCATAACGGAAAATCACCATATCCTTGAAACTGCTTGTGCTCTTTTACATGGAGCACATGTGCCTCACCACCATTGGACTGATGGTGTTACTACAACAGTATATCTCATCAATCGGATTCCATCGAAGGTTCTTGAATTTAAAACTCCGTTGCAGACCTTGTCCACATTTGTACCGCTGCCTACAATACAAATGCTGCCACCTCGTGTCTTTGGGTGTGTTGTGTTTGTTCACCTACATAAAAACCAGCGTAGAAAGCTTGATCCGTGTGCCATTCGCTGCCTATTTTTGGGATATGGTGTACACCAAAAAGGGTATCACTGCTATGACCCTACTACTCGACGCATTTATGTAACTATGGATGTTACATTCTTGGAATTTGACCATTTCTACTCCTCGACAGCACCCAATTCTTCTCTTCAGGGGGAGACACCAGAAGAAGAGTCGAATTGGTCGCTATTTGACTGGTTTAAAGTTATTGATATACCATCAACTGGAGTGCCTGGTGATTCATGTCAAACTCAAACAAACCATATGAGTCCTGAAGTTGAAGTATCGAAATCCCCCCTCTCTAGTACTCAACGATCCATCTTCTGAGAATATCATTGAGGTAAGCTCTCTTATATCTCCTGATAATAGTAATAATAGTGATATCTCTGTTAGCTATGAATTACCTCACACGCGTAATCAGGGAAAACCACTGAAGCGTTACTCTCCTAAAGAAGAGGATCATAGATCGAGGTATCCAATTGCTAATTATGTCTCTATGAAGGAATTATCTAAACCCCTTAAGAAATTTGCAAATGAGCTATCTTCACACAGTGTACCTAGCAACGTTGAAGAGGCCATTGAAGATACTAGATGGGTTCAAGCTATGAATGAAGAAATGGAGGCATTAAACAAGAATGCGACATGGACCCTTGTCCCTTTACCAAAAGGAAAGAAACCAGTAGGGTGTAAGTGGGTTTTCTCTATCAAGTACAAAGCTGATGGGTCAATTGAAAGGTATAAAGCAAGACTAGTAGCTAAAGGCTTTACACAAACATATGGCATAGACTATCAAGAAACCGTTTCTCCTGTTGCCAAGTTGAGCACTGTCAGAGTTCTTTTATCTCTTGCAGTAAATCTTGATTAGCCATTGCATCAGTTAGACTTGAAAAACACCTTTCTCCATGGGCACTTGAAAGAAGAAATATATACGGATATCCCTCCGAGATACATGACAAACTATGAGACTAAAATGGTGTGTAAATTGCAACGCAGTTTGTATGGCTTGAAGCAATCTCCTAGAGCGTGGTTTGGGAGATTGAACCTGGCAATGAAAAATATGGCTTCCAATAAAGCAACGCGGATCATACGTTGTTTTTGAAACACCATCAAGGTAAGGTCACAACTTTGATTGTGTATGTAGATGACATGATTATTATAGGAGATGACTCCGAGGAAATAGCAAAAATTCAAAAACAACTGGCAACCGAATTTGAGATGAAAAATCTAGGTGGACTCAAATATTTTATAGGTATTGAAGTTGCTAGGTCAAAGAAATGCATTTTTTTATCTCAACAAAAATATATCTTAGATCTTTTATCAGAAGTTGGGCTACTAGACTGTAAACCTGTAGATACTCCAATTGTCCAGAACCACCAACTTGGAGAATATCCAGACCAAGTGCCAACAAACAAAGGAATGTACCAGAGATTGGTTGGCAAACTTATTTACTTATCTCATACATGACCTGATATAGCGTATGCAATAAGTGTAGTAAGCCAATTTATGCACAACCCAAGTAAAGATCACATGAACGCGGTAATTCGAATCATGCGGTACTTGAAGTCCTCGCCTGAAAAAGGCTTGATGTTCATAAAGAATAATCATGTACACGTTGAAGGCTATACATACGCTGACTGGGCAGAAGATATCACCAACAAAAAATCCACCTCGGGCTATTTTACCTTTGTTGGAGGAAATTTGGTTATATGGAAAAGTAAGAAACAAAAGATTGTAGCATTATCAAGTGCTGAAGCAGAGTTTCGAGGGATGGCTAAAGGTCTTTGTGAGCTTTTCTGGCTTCGAAGACTGTTAATTGAAATTGGCTTTGCTCCGAATAGTGCGATGAATCTTTTTTGTGACAACAAGTCTGCAATTGAAATTGCTCATAATCCGGTTCAACATGATCGAACAAAACACGTGGAAGTAGATCAACACTTTATTAAGCTAAATTTGGAGACCAAGATAATTCAATTTCCTTTTGTTAAATTTGAAGATCAATTAACAGATATACTCACAAAAGTTGTATGTAGTAGAGACTTCTACAACGCACTTGACAAGTTGGGCATTCGAGATATCTATGCACCAACTTGAGGGGGAGTGTTGGCGTTAGCTGTCAACAAAATTGTAGGAACTATAATAGGAATATAGTTATTAATTGTTAATTACTCTGATTTGGTTACAATTATTCTGATTTAGTTATAATTAGAAATAAGGTTTTCTATGTATATAAATATAACCAATTTCCCTTTGTAATACACAATTGAAATATATGAAGGTATTATATCAGTTTAACAAATTCACCACTGTGATGAATATTTAGATGTAAATATTCGTCAATTTTGACCTATTCAAATCAATTTTGAAATTCAATTGTGTCGTATTACAGATACAAATAAAATTCGAAAAAGGAAAATCCCTAAAAACTAATACATTTTGAGACCCTAAACATTAAAATAACTAAATGCATAAAATCCTCAAATCTATTACAGATCAAATATCATAACGAATTTGTGAAAATACCTATTAACCTGTATTCAACAGTGGTGTCTTCAATAGTGTCTTCACTTTCTTTCTTTGATATACCCTTCAATTTCACCTTCAAAAACGGTTTCGGTTGGCGAATCATCTCGTCTCCTCAACGACTTTGCGCATGGTCTCTCTACTAGGGTTTGTTCAACTTTCTTTCTTTGATATACCCTTCGATTTTACCTTCAAAAACGGTTTCAGTTGGCGAATCGTCTCGTCTCTTCAACGATTTTGCGCAGGGTCTCTCTACTAGGGTTTGTTCAACTGATTAAGTGATTTTTGAATACAACCTTTAAATTACTTTTTTTTTATTGTAATATTTTTCCACATCAGCATCATGTCTATGTCAATTGGACCATTTTTTGACTTTGACTATTAGACTTATCAGAAAGGATTAACGGAATCCTATTTTAAAAACTAAAGGAGATCAAATTATATTTTGAGGTAAAGTTATTAAAAAATAAAAAAAAAAAGTTACCTTTAAAATTTTATATGGTTTAAGGAAAAGAAACCTCATTTTATCAATCCTAGTGAGAAGCCTCTTTTGCTATCCCTTTTCAAAACAATATATGAAACTTGTTCAATACTTTAGGTAGCTGGCACGACGTTGTGCTAATTATATCCATATCCAAGATAGACTAGTCTAATTTAATAATCTATTTTTCTATTCAACTATGTCTACATTTATTTCCTACTTTCTTAAATCAGCATAATACTCTAGTATGTACAAAAACTAATTTCTCCATGGAATACAAGAAAAGCTATACTGAACATTACATGGATAAAGAACTTGTGTCTATCATGTATTTTGTTCCTATTAGAGAATTAGCCACATTCATGTACCTTACCTTATACTTCAATCAATCATTCATTTCTCTTTACACATACCACCTTGTTATTTCATTTTAGCCGCCACCAACTTGTGCTATAATTTAATTCACAATTTCTATATTATATGAAGCAAGTTGTAGATATAGTAGTTGCCAATAACATACTCTATAAAACTCACAATTCATCACCATAATCATAAACCATCAACAATGTCTACAATCAACAAGAACAAACCTTTTCTGTTCCCACAAGCTAACTCCACTGTCCTCCCTGACCCCTCCAACTTCTTCTCATCAAATCTTCTATCCACACCCCTCCCTACTAACTCTTTCTTCCAAAACTTCTCTCTCAAAAATGGTGACCAACCTGAATACATTCATCCTTACCTCATCAAATCATCAAACTCATCACTTTCTGTTTCATATCCAACTCGCTCTTCGAGTTCCGCTGTCATTTCGCAGGTTTTCAACAATGATCTCACCATAACTTCCAACAACAAACAAAGTACTGATGGAAAACACATAATCTCTTCTTATAGTGATCTTGGTGTCACCTTAGATATCCCTTTTTCAAGTCTCACTGTCTTTCTTGTTAGAGGAAGTCCCTATTTGACTTTTTCTGTATCACTAACCCCTCTTAACATCTCCACCATTCATGCCATTCTTTCTTTCTCTTCAAATGATTCCCTCACAAAATTCACCTTTCATCTTAACAATGGTCAAACATGGATACTATATGCTTCTTCACCTATCAAGTTGACTCCTCATCATTCTGAGATCATTTCGGACTTCTATTCCGGTATAATTCGCCTCGCTTTGCTGCCCGATTCCGATTCAAAACACGAAGATGTTCTCGATAGGTATAGTTCTTGTTATCCTTTATCAGGTAATGCTAAACTCAGAGAACCATTTTGTGTTGAGTATAAGTTCGAGAAAGAAGGTTCGGGTGATTTGTTATTGTTAGCACACCCTCTTCATCTTCAGCTTTTATCTAGTACTGAAAATGATGTAACTGTTCTTGATGATTTCAAGTATAATAGCATTGATGGTGAGCTTGTTGGTGTTGTTGGTGATTCATGGACTTTGAAAACTGAACCTGTTTCAATAACTTGGCACTCAAGCAAAGGTGTTAAAGAAGAATCACTTGATGAAATTGTTTCATCACTTTCTAAAGATGTTGAAGGTTTAAACTCATCAGGAATATCAACAACTTCGTCGTATTTTTATGGAAAATTGATCGCAAGAGCGGCGAGGCTAGCATTGATAGCAGAAGAGGTTTTTTCCTTTGATGCTATTCAAAAAGTCAGAAACTTTTTGAAAGAAACCCTTGAGCCTTGGCTTGAAGGAACTTTCAATGGAAATGGTTTTCTACATGATAGAAAATGGGGAGGAATTATAACTCAACAAGGCTCTAATGATACCGGAGGCGATTTCGGATTCGGAATTTACAATGATCATCATTATCATTTAGGATACTTTCTTTATGCAATAGCAGTGCTTGTTAAGATTGATCCATCTTGGGGTAGGAAGTATAAGGCACAAGCCTATTCAGTCATGGAAGATTTTATGAACTTGAGTATAAAATCGAACACGAGTTATACGCGTTTGAGGTGTTTCGATCTTTATAAGTTACATTCGTGGGCCGGAGGGCTAACCGAGTTTACAGACGGACGAAACCAAGAGAGTACTAGTGAGGCTGTGAATGCATACTATGCTGCAGCATTGATGGGAATGGCATATGGTGATCCTCATCTTGTGACCATTGGATCAACACTAACATCATTGGAGATTCTTGGAGCTAAAATGTGGTGGCAAGTGAAAGAAGGAGGGAAACTCTATGAAGAAGAGTTTACAAGAGAGAATAGGATAATGGGAGTTTTGTGGAATAATAAGAGAGATAGTGGACTATGGTTTGCTTCAGCTGAGGCTAGAGAAGCTAGGCTTGGAATTCAGCTTATTCCATTGAGTCCAATTTCTGAGGTTTTGTTTTCTGATGTTGGTTATGTGAAGGAGCTTGTGGAGTGGACATTGCCTGCTTTGAAAAGGGAAGGTGTTACTGAAGGATGGAAGGGTTTTTTGTATTCATTGGAAGGGATTTATGATAATGAAAGTGGTTTGGAGAAGATAAGAAGCTTGAAGGGTTTTGATGGTGGAAATTCTTTGACTAATCTATTGTGGTGGATTCATAGTAGAGGTGAAGCTGGTGATGATGATGATGAGTAGGAAACATTTGGTTAACAAACATTTTGGTTTTTAAGGCCAATATGTGTTTTCATGGTTTCATTTCATGAATTGTTTCTTACTGTCTTTTCAATTGATGTTCGGTTTTATTGTATTTGGATGAGATGATTCAGATATTTCGAAGTTTTTTGTTTAAAATTCTGTTAAGAGAAAAATGACGTTAAAACTCTTTAAAAAAATTTTATCGTCTATTATAATACTAATTAGCTTCGAGAATATTGATTGTGACTGATGATATGTGATTTAAAAAAAAAAAATTTAAAAATTGTTGTCTAGTTATAATAATTCATGATATGAATGAATGATAATTGTGTAGCTTTCATTAAATTTTGGTACATGATGAGTTTGGTATTGAATTCATTGCTAGGTGTTTGTGTGGCATGATGAGTTTGTGGGGATAATGTGTAAGAGGAACAAGTTGTAGCCATCTTTGACCTTTTTGATGCTTTTTTTGGAAAATTTCATTTTTTAAAATTAAAGCCAGCTGCTATTGATATAAATAAATGCAAGTTGTAAAGGCATTACTTAAACATATTCTGTCAACTGTCAATTGTCAAACAAAAGAAGAAAAATAAGCACAATAATAGAGTGTTTGCTACTACTCTATTGATTATAGTAGTTAAAAAAAAATTAAATCTCACACTCCTTTGTATATTTGCCTATGTTTTATACTAATAAAACAAAATTTGGTAAAACTAATAAAACAAATTTTGGTCATATTAGGTTCCATCCCATCGCCATTAGACGCAAAAGTCAATAGAATTACAAATTGAGTTACAATGATTTGGACGCAAAAGTCAATAGAATTACAAATTTAGCTACAATAATTTTTTTAATTTAATCAATATTGGTAGTTAATTATAATTATTAAATTTTTATATATGTTTCACTTTTGTTTATGTTTGAATGAGACGTTGGTGAATCAAGAGATTTTAAACCGAGAGGTAAAGAATTATACGGGTGGAATCAAAGTGTCTAGAGTAAATTTAGAATAAAGGAGATTATTTTAAAGTTTGGCTTAGGTGTAAAAATATTGAAACATGGGAAAAGTACAAAAAAGCTAGGAATGAGATCAATAAGGCGTTGAGTGAAGAAACAATAAACAATCCAAGCTTTTGACAGATTATACAAATCTCTAGGAACCAAGAACAGAGAAAAATCTATATACATGCTTGTAAGGGAAGAGAAAGATAGACTAGAGATTTGAATCAAGTGAAGAGTGTTAAATATGAAGAAGGCAAAGTCTTGGTTCAGAAAAAAGATATAAAGGATAGGTGGAAGACATATTTCTATAACCTATTTAGAGAAGAATATGTTGTGAATTGATGTCGTCAATAACAGAACAAAGTTATGAGGAAAAGATTGAGTTTCTTGAACAAACACAAGAAATCCTATTATGTTTCACAAAAGAAAAGAGAAGAAGGAAGAAGAATAGAGAATTGGTTAAATCTATTTTATTATTCACTTTCTCAATAAGGATTCAAAGATTACAAGTGAATACCAATAACTAACATCTCTCAACAACCTGAGAGAACTAGTGTATTTATAGACTACTAAGCTAACTTAAATTACAAGCTAACTTAATAATGAGGCTTACAAGAAACCTAACTCGACATGCTAACAATCCTAACATTTCGACTATTGCATGCTTGAGCATACTTCGACTACAACGTACAAGATCCGTATGTGAACAAACTTCGACTTCATACTAAAATCTTCTATCGAACCATGAAGCTACTCTTATCGACACTAGAGTTCGATCTAAAATACCATAAATCTCCACCTTAGAACAAACTCTACACAAAAGAAGGGAACAAACTAGCTTGCATCATGAAACTTTATCAACTACATACAGTGGAAAAACTTGTTACTCGGTAATGTCTTGGTGATCATATCAGCAGCATTGTCAACAGTCGAAACCTTCAGCACTTGGACTTTTGCACGCTCGATTATCTCTCTGACGAAGTGCAGCCTCACATTGATGTGCTTAGTTTGCTCATGATAGGATGAATTCTTTGATAGGTGTATTGCACTTTGACTATCACATTTAACAGTGATAACTCGACCTTGAAGTTTCAGCTCCTCAACAAAACCTTCAAGCCACAATGCTTCTTTCACAGCTTCAGTGAGGGTAATATATTCTGCTTTAGTGGTTAATAAGGCAACAAAACTTCTGAAGTGTCACTTTCCAACTGATTGTTGTGCCGAACATAGTGAACACATATCCAAAAATAAATTTTCTAGAACCTATACAACCTGCATAATCAGAGTCGAAAAATCCTTCGATTTTGACTTTGATATCATCACCACAGGCTCCACTATAAATCAAGACTCTTCTTAGAAACCCATTGATGTACCTACGAATCGACTTTAATGCTTGCTAGTGCGCCTTCCCTGGATTGGCCATATACCTGCTTACAAGGCTCACTCCATATGCTATGTCTGGCCTCGTATAGACCATAGCATACATCAAAGAACCTACTATACTAGCATATGGGATGTTATTCATATAGGCTCTTTCGACTTCGGTACTAGGACTTTGAGTCGTACTCAACTTGTAATGAGAATTAGTCGATGTTAGAACATGATTTGAATTTGACATACCAAACTTGTTAAGAATCTTCTTCAGGTATGTCTCTTGATATAAGCATAATCTTAACTGCTTTCCATCTTTCTGGATGTTAATCCCAATAATTCTGGAGGCAGCTCTTAAATCTTTCATGTCAAACTCCTTATCAAGTTCAACCCTTATCATGTTGAACCCTTACCTTCATAACATCTTCGACACTGTTACTTTCTATGAGGATGTCATCCATATAAAGCAACAAAATAACAAGTGAATTTCTAGGTCGAAATTTGAATAAAACATAATGGTTGAATTGGCTCCTTGTGAAACCAATGTGTTCCATAAACTTGTCGAATCTCCTATTCCATTATCGAGAACATTGTTTCAGACCATACAAAGACCTATTTATCTTGCACACATAATCTTCCTTTCCCTTTTCTACATACCCTTTAGGTTGCCTCATCAGGATTATTTCATCTAGATCACCATACAGGAAGGTTGTCTTCACATTCATTTGTTCAAGTTCTAGGTCGAACTTCACCACCATAGCTAACAACATTCTAATGGATCTATGTTTTACAATAGGTGAGAACACATCATTAAAGTCGACACCTTATATTTTAGTGAACCCCCTAGCAATCAACCTTGCCTTAAAGCGCTTAGACATTACTCTTTTGATTCCTTCATTAACCTTAAAAGTACTTACAACTGACTAATCTGACTCCTGCAGGTTTCTCAATCAGCTCCCAAGTGTTATTATCTTGAAGAGATTTTATCTCATCATCCATGGCTTTCAGCCATTTAGTCTTATCTCTACTTCTCATAAATTCCTTATAATCTCTAGGTTATTCATCAAGGACCTCACTTGCAGAAATCAAGGCATAAGTTATGAGATCTGCATAACCAAGTCTCTGAGGTGGCTTGATGAATTTTCTTGACCTGTCTCTTTCTAGCAGGTAGTCATTATCGGTCTCCTCATCTTCAACAATAGCATCTGCTTCTTCTTCGAATTCATCCGAGCCATGCAATTCTACATCACTATGCTCCACCTCATCAGGAATCTCTCCATGTTTTAGTTCTTCTTCAAAAATCTTTGAACTTTGACCAATGTCATCAGTTTTCTTGAAAGTCGTCTCAGTTTCATTAAAAACTACATCTCCACTTGTAATAAACCTCTTGTGACTTGACTCTAGGTTCGAACTTGTCTTGCTTAATGTGAGCATAAGCTAAGCAGTCAAATACTCTAAGTCTGTCGAGACTAGGTGGATGTCCCGACCAGACTTCTTCAGGTTTCTTCATTCCCAAGGTAGTTGAGGGACACCTATTTATCAAGTAAGATGCAGTCACAACAACTTATGCCTAAAACACATTCTTCAATCCTGCACTTACCAACATGCACCTCACCTTTTCTAAAATGGTTCGGTTAAACCTTTCAGCCAAACCATTTTGTTGGGGAGTCCTTGTTATAGTTTTGTGCCTTGCAATACCAGACACAACACAATAGTTTTCAAATGCCTCATTTCAAAATTCAAAACCATTGTCGATCCTCAACCTCTTGACCTTCCTGCCAATTTGGTTTTCGACCAGAGTCTTCCAACTTTTGAAAATTTCAAAAGTTTCATCCTTAGTCTTCTAGATGAATACCCATAACTTTCTAGAGTAATCATCAACTATGGATAGAAAATACTTTGCACCTGAGTGTGAAGGATTCCTTGCAGGCTCCCAAAGATCAACATGAATGTAATAAAGAGATCCATGAGTTCTTTGTTTACCTTTGTTAAACTTCATTCTACAGGATTTACCAAATACACAAGGTTCACAAAACTCCAGTTTTTCGACCTTGTCACCACCCAGCAGATTTTGTTTCGACAATTTGACCAGACCTCTTTTATTGACATGGCCAAGTCTCTTGTGCCATAGCTCAATCTTCCACATAGGTTTCGTGGATGTTACATCTACTGAACCACTTACAACCTCAACCTCAAGGATATACAAGCCTTGTTTCTTCACACCTCTCAAGACTTCTTTCAACCCCTTCATTACCTTTAGGATGCTTTGCTCCCCTTTAAAAATATATCCTTTCTTGTCAAATTCACAAAGAGAAATCAAATTCCTCTTCAGATCAAGTACATACCTAACATCAGTCAATAGTCTTATTGACTCATCGTGGAGCTTGAATATCACATATACAATACCTACAATTTTGTAATCTTTGTTGTTTCCCAATAACATTGATCCACCATCTTGATCACACAATTCCTCAAACACGTCTTTGTTTGGAGTCATGTGCCCAGTACACCCTGAGTCCATAATCCAGTCCTTGCTAGAGTCGCTGCTTGAAACTACCAGGACATCAGATGATTCATAACCATTTTGCACAATGATAGCATTACCATTATCCTTTCCACCATGATTG